TATATATATATAGATATGTATATAGAAAGATTTAGATAGATATAGATGGAGCCAGACCCTTTTTCTATTATATGGCCTCATTCAAACATGTGCAGAGCCATAAAGTGTGCATGTCCATGGAGAACCCTGCGCTCGGGTGAGACAGCTGCTGTGTGTAGCTGCCTGTACTACTCAATGACAGGATGCGGCTGCACTCCAACTGAACTTGCTTCGATGCAGACAGTCTTAATTCATGGATGTACATCCGCGGGTCAGTGTGCAGCCATAACCTGTCATTAAGTTGTACAGGTGGCGCAGGTTTCTACACGTATGTGCGCACTGTATGGCTGTGCATGTTCATGTGAATAAGGCCTAAATGCACGCTCTGCTTTCTGCTTAGAACTGATACACAGTGATATTGCCTTCATGATTCATGTACATCACTGCAAGTCGAGACAGGGTAGCAGACAGGGTCTATCTGATTAAAAAAAACGAATAGACTTTTAAAGTCTTGAATAACTAGAACCTCACAATCCTTTTTGTGCAGAATACGAAAGCATCACATGATGGCGTTCCGCTGCAACTTCAGCAGAAGCAAGAGGTGTTTTTATACATGAAAGAGTAATGTGATTTGGTAGAATTGGCATGTGCCATATTGATTCATGTCAAGCATAAATCTTAATAAAACATCCACTTTCATTCTTTTAATAGTTGTTTTAACTGCCTCAGACAGTTCATGACTTCTAAAATGATCTTTTACTCTTTCCACAACAGAAGTTAGAAATTCAGGAACTACAGCTGTAAATCTGAACACACATAATGAAGCAAACATTTATATTTAGAGTACTGTACATAGCACTATATAGCACTATAAAGCTTGTCTCTTGGAAATGTGGACTTTGCTGCTGGAGAGGTTTGAACTATTCTTACAGATAACTCGTTTTTAATACATGGACCCTTTTTACAGTGTACTTTACATTCACCTGCTTCAATATTTTGAAAGTCAGTCATTCTGTGAGTGAGTGGGAACTACTGATCAACTATGGATTGTAAACCTAAAACCTCTCAATAATTATATGATTTGTTTAGTTTTATCAATGACATTAATGTAGAGAACACTACCTTGCTGACTAGAGACTGCCATGCTATGTTTCCCAAAGCAGCAGGGGACAAGGTACAAAAAGTAAAGGCAAGTTAGAGTTGAGCTCCAGGCAAACCACTTAATATTCAATTGAAATACAGTACATATATAAGGAAGCTGTTTTACTTGCTTGCAAATTTGTATTTTTCTCCATGCAGGCCTGAAATTTACACAGCCACAGTATAGCCCTGTATGCCGGAGCAGAAGATCTGATTGCTCTCTGCTGCAGTTGAATAATATGTACAGGTCTAGCCCATCCAGTGGCTTGTGACTGGACAGTACCAAGAGAAGCAGCAAGCTGATGAGCTCGTCTCTCTGTCACTCTGCTTTCTTCTTCTATCACCATTGCACAACTAAATGGCTCATTTGACTGATTTTGTGTGCTGCTGCACAGTAGACTACAATAGGCTGATACTAAGTCATTCAGTCAAATTCAGGTAGTTACACTGCTTGCATAAAAAAATATATACATTTAATGATCTATTATTGAATAGAGTGCTGCAATAATTTGTATTTTTTATATCTGCCTGGAGCTCAGCTTTAAATTTAACAAAATGTTTTCAACTAGCTATAAAGGAGAACAGCATGCTTTTTAACTACAATAGATGTGATGGAATGTCACTAGATTATAACCATGAACAGTAACAGCCACTTAACTTTTTTTTTATTATTTAAAGGTGAGGCCTTTTAAAATTCCATAGCTGCAGAACTGACACTTTACGGATTATGTATTGTCTACATGGGTTCATCCTATTATACGTTTTGCTGTGGGCTAATATTTTAGATATCCTGTTTTATCTCATGGAATTTGTGTACTGACTTTTCTTCACATATGCCCTATGTGAGTTTCACCTGACACTAACTCTCTAGCCTGTAAAATTCCTCATGCGATTACCTTACATATGCTATTTACTAGCTAGTTCAGACAATGCATTTCAGTCTACTATAAATCCTTATTTTGACTTTTGCGTCTAGATTTTCAGAGTGCTGTTGCTTTAGTTTCCCACCCCCAAGCAATTGAAGTCTATGATTTACATCTGATTATTAGGCCCTGTGATGAGGTCATGCCACAAAGGCCAGGGCTATACTACTTAGCTATAACGCAAATGTTGCTTCCACAGTCGGCATAAGTGTTGTGCAACCGCATGATTTAATGATAAGACTAGGTTTAAAGTGTATTTCCAGTTTGCAGCCAGATTGGGATAACACCTATGGATATTGGTTACATGCCCCCAAAGTGTCTTAATGGTAAATTCAACTGGAAAGCTGGATTTCCCCTGCACCCTGCTAGATAGAACGAGCAGGACTTTTACATGTTTTCCTTCCACTAGTACAGTCAAATTTGAGAAAACCCCACTATGTGTATGTTATGTGTTCCCATTAACACAGCATACCATAAAATAATTTTCTTACATTTTAGGTGTTGCTTTAGTGAAGGCATTTGTGCAGATTCCAGGCTACGCTGAGCAGCATGAGAGTAAAACTAGTATAGTGTCATTAACACACAATGCCTCAAAAGCTTCAACATTTTGTTAGCACAGACAGAGTTCAAATCTAGTTCACAATTGATAATAAAATCTGACAACACAGTACAGACAGGGATAATTATTTAAACTACGTAGATAAAATAACTTTGCACAACCCCTTCCTTAACATTACATAGGATTGAGACTAAGTACAATATTTAAGCATATAAAAAGCAGCAATTTTTTAAGTTTAATGTGGATGTAAACATATAAGAAATATAAAGTAGATGTTATCCCAATTTGGCTGTAAAAGTGGAACTACACTTTAAGCTCCTGGAAATAGAGCTAAGTGCTGTTAATCTAAAGGGATGTAGGCAGAGCATTCACTAATAGGGCTATCAACATTGTCAACATCTAGGCAACTAAAGCAGCAGCAACGGTGACAACACTGCAGTGATTTTAGTGAAAAAGGAAGAGCATTGTCACCCTATCAAAGGAAGTACCTATCCTACGGTTCTACTGGCCGGATCAATGGGTATTTACAAAATGTTCCAGGGGCTCCATGGAAAAAGAGAGCACCTATTCTTACAGGTATGAGCAGCCTACGTCACATTTGTGATTTTATAGTTTGACTAAAGATCTACTTAAAAAAACAAGGAGGCTGCAACTGCTGACCTTTAGAAAAGCCATAGTTTGGTGGATGTTCTATGGACTCAGAACAAGTATGCATAAGGACTTTTCCTCATCTGTTTAATGTGTTCCAGGTATAAAAATGATAAAGTACTGAAACCAATGGGTCAGCATAACCACCACAAAATGTGCATTTGCTGACGTAAGTTAGCAATGGAACCCCTATACTTCTCTCATGACAGCTTTCCATTAATAACAGAAAATCTACAATCTGTTTTAGAAAATTTGGATGTCTGCCTTTACCTCTTCAAAGTAACGTAACTTTTCTAGTCTCCTATGAACTGTGGAAATGTTTATTTAACATTCTTGAATACGTATGTCATTTTATTGCCTACCCACTCATTAAAAAAGAGCAAAGCTTTACAAAAAATACACTTTTTTTAATATGCCCAAAACTAAAAAAAAAATATACATATATTTTCTTTTTTAGTTAAGTAAATAAGACAATTTAAATATAAAAAAAATAATTTGTACATATCCAGGCAGGAGGTAGAGCTTCAGAATTCTTTTCACATACATACCAGGCTTTCTTTAACTGCTTTACTGCAAAAAGCCAGTTTACAATATTCAAAAGCTCATGAGCAAATGTACAAACACAACTGCATACGTCTAAAAGTGACTTTTCCCACACTTCACCCACTTCTGTTCAGACAAGGCTGTATGGAGTTTCAATCAGTGAAAGACAGCCAGAAAGAAAACAGCTTCCGCTAAGCTCTGTGAATTCTGTGTCGTGGGTGCATCCTGTATAAAATGTTTATATGTACAATAAGAAATATTTATACACATAGTAAAATAGATATGGGGTATAAATACAAATAACATCCCTAACATGAAATATACTGAACTCTCATCCAAAGAAGTTCTCAAATATATTTATTATGAAAAGTAAAAATGAAATTTCTGGTGTCTAAACCACCCCTGAAGCACGCAGCTGTACTGCCCTTCACAAGCTGATCTTAGAAACATATTTATCTAATCCTGCAAAATAATATATGTTTATACCTTATTCTAACTGCCTCCAGTTTTTCTTGACAGAACCATTCTTCCACCCAAATCATGAAATGAGCTCACTCCAGCTGTGTTCAAACACTGTGACAGGAATGACAAGTTTCATGCTGCACCATTCACGGTTAATGAGTGAGTAGTAATCTCACCAGGGACAGCTGGGCCTCTCTTTTTTACTTATCTAGCTTTCATTTTAATGTGAAAAACAAAGATCTGTAGACTAAACTCACTTACCTGGCCCTATGTTATTTTATTTCAAGTGGGGTATTGTGTAAGGAAAATTGACTACTGATTTCTATTTCAGTGTAGCAAAATAGAACTGCCTTCCCTGCCCTGCCTTCCCCTGTTTTATCCCACTTGATTGCTGCATCAGCAACATTTACCAGTAGTGACCATTTGTGTGCAACACAAACACCATAAATAAAAACCCTGCATAACATCTTTCAATTATCTCAACACGGTCATTATGGGATAGGATAAACACATAGACAAACAGTAGATATCCGCTGTAACTCTTTTTCTGCCTCTGGATAGTTCCTATTTTGCAATTCAGGGGGCCAAGCCAAATGTTCCCACTTTGCATGTGGACATACTAGATGTATGTAACATTACAGGGGTTTTATGTAGGTCTGTGGGTCCTCACTATGTGTATGCAATATACATCATGTGTGTGTTCCCCCCAAGCTGCCCTCCCCATGCTTCCCGGCCCAAGAGGTGGTGACAAACCTTTTTTTCCCAGTAAAGACATCCCTGGACATGCTCAGGGATGGGCACATCCTGTTTTAATGAGAGGAATTCTTAAATTCACCTCTTTTTTTGTTTTTTGAACCCAAAATCATTGGGTGTGTTTGAAATAGAAATCCCCTCTCCATAGGACTAGGCTCAGTGACTGGCCAGAAATCCTGTTATTACTATGTCTGCAACTTAGGGCATACTGGTAGGAAAGCAACAATGGTCTGTATGCATTTTATGTTTTTATATAATTATTATATTAGGAGGAGCAGTATCTAGTGGGCACGCTAGACACCTTTTTACAGTGTAAGTGATTAGATGGCTTGGCAGCTGTCAAAATCATGTCTACAAATGGGGAGAGGCTAGCCATAAAAAATGAAACAAACTCATGGCTGACAGTGCAGCTGAGTGATTGTTTTAACCTTTTGATGTATGCCATCCATTACTGGATATCCAGGAGAAGAAAAGCCATGGTGAATGTGATATATCAAAGGGTTAAGTATGTAAGACATGTTTTATCAGTTAATCTGTCACCAAGAGAGTCTGAAAGCCACACAATAATTGCAATGTCTAAGAATCTGAGTAAATAAAGCCAACTGCAAACAAAACAAGCCAGGCAGTGTATATGAGCCCTTAGGTTGCCATAGATATATGTTTCTTGCAAGACATAGGGCATTTAGATGCACACATTTGGCATCTGTCTGTAATGCACAAACAAATGTACAGGATATTATTAGCCTACAAATAATGCAGGAAAACTCAGTCATTTTTAAATTGTTTTGACAGTCATGGTCCTTTCTATTAAAATCTTATGCTGAAATCATGCAACAATCAGCATTAGTACATTACATGTATCAAAGTGACACTAAACTCAGGAGTTAAATCTTAAAAATGAATTCAAGTACCTTATCTTATTTGTGTATCACTCGGCTGTAGATCCTCAAATCATCTCTGAATTGGTGCTGACACTGTCCTTCCTTCTGGAGGGTTGCCTATTGTCCCCTTTGTGTGTTGTAAAGTAGTCACCGCTCCAAACTTACTCCTGTGATGGACTAAAATCTCATGTTTAATTTACTAATTTGTAATGAGATTATAGTCCATCACAGGAGTGAGTTTGGAGCAGTGACTACTTTACAACACACACAGGGACCATGGGGAACAAAAGTAGCCACCCTCCAGAAGGAAGGACAGTGTCAGCACCAATACAGCTGAGTGATACACAAATACGATACATTTTTGTTAATAGTCGAGTTACTTAAATGCATTTTTAAGGTTTAACTCCTGAGTTTAGTGTCACCTTAAGGGCTTGTTCACACCATATATAGTGCGTTCCAGCGCGGCTAGCTACTGGAACGCACTGTATCGCATAGTAAACTCCCCCCTTGCACCACAGCCATGCCACCCCGCCTGAGGTGCAATCGCCCGCACCAGAACACGGGCACAACAATGCCTGCGGCATTTTTTTCCGGTTGCACTGAACTGGAACGCAGGCATTCATGTGCCCACATTCTGGTACAGGCGATCGCACTGTGGGCTGGGGGGGCTTGTGGCTGCGGTGCCATTGACTTCAATGCACCGCCACACCCCCTCCCACCCCAGAACACAGGGGGGGCTTTTACTATGCGATACAGTATATGGTGTGAACAAGCTCTAACACTTTTAGCAAAAGATATGCAACATATTTTTTACTACTAATTATTCAGACCATGGTTGTTTATGGACTCTTTTTTATCAGGGTGAACTAATGTCATCAGATGCTACCACCAAAATGTATCCATGATGTTTGGGATGTTGTCTAAATGATTGCTTTCTCAAGTCAAATCAAATCAATCTCAAGGTCAAATCAACTCTATAAAGTCAGCAAATCCATTTAATGCACCTTAATCCTAGTTGAATCTCTAGTTGCTGGCTTCAGAATAGCCAGATTCCTAGAGAGGCTTCTGTGTGGGTCTGTAGTGTCACATTGCATCATATGAGTATTCCAGGCTGACCAAAGTGGGGCTCTTGCAAGGACCACGTGGATGCCTGGAAACAGAAGCAGAGAACCTGCAAGCTGAGCATGAAAAGGGCTTTCCTGGAGCATACCAGTCCCTGGTAGTGCAACTGAAGCATACAACCAACTATGGGTGGCAAGGCACTGTCAAAAGATCTCCGGGATAAAGTTGTGGACAGGCCCAGTTCAGGAGATGGATACGGAAAAAAAAATCAAAGGCTTTTTCAATGCCTAGAAGCACTGTAAAGTCTATTATTAAGAAGTGGAAGGTATTTGGTACAACACAGACCCTCCCTGGATCAGGACATCGCTCCAAACTGGATGAAAGAGCCGGGAGTAAACTGGTCAGAGAGGCTACCAAGAGGCCTACAGCAACTCTGAAGCAGTTGCAGGAATTTATGACAAAGAGTGGTCATTGTGTGCATGTGACAACAATATCACACATGTGGCTTGTATGGGAGGGTTGCAAGAAAACAGCCACTCCTCAAGAAAGGCCACATGCAGTCACGACTGAGCTTTGACAAAATGCACCATGAAGATTCTGAGGCCACATGGAAAAAGGTGTTATAGTCAGATGAGACTAAAATGTAATTGTTTGGCCTTAACCCCAAACTATATGTCTGGCGGAAATCTAATACAGCTCACCATCCAGATAACACCACTCCTACAGTAAAGCATGGAGGGGGTAATATCCTGTTATGGGGGTGTTTCTCTGCAGCAGGGACTGGACAGGATAGAAGTAAAAATGGATGGGGCCAAAATACTGTCAAATTCTTGAGGAAAATCTGCTGCCCTCTGCCAGAAAGTTGTCAATGGGAAGAAGGTTTACCTTCCAACATGACAATGACTGAAAGCACACAGCAAAAGTGACCACACAGTGGTTAAGGGAGAAAAAAGTGAATGTTTTGCATGGCCTAGTCAGAGCCCAGACTTAAAGACCATTGAAAATCTGTGGAATGACTTGAAGACTGCAGTGCACAAACGGTCACCATCAAATTTAACTAAACTTGAGCAGTTCTGCAAAGAGTAGGCAAATATTGCAAAGTTAGTAGAGACATATCCTAACAGACTAAAGGCTGTCATTAAAGGTGGTTCAACAAAATACTGACACAAGGGGGGATCCTTTTTCCAACTCAGTGATTTAGTTTTTTTAATTTTTTTCTGACATGTTGGTGTTATATCTTTCACTTGGATGTTATATGTTGTAATGAGTAAATACAGCTGGATAAAACAAAACTGTCTTCATTTCAGGCTGCAAAGCATCAAAATGTGATTATTTTAAACGGGGGTGATTCTTTTCTATAACCATTGTAGTTACCAGCAACATGGTGATCTTGGACAGCAATCTAGCATGGCACACTACAATGTTGTCTGGAAGTACAGATGAAGTCCAAGGCAGTCAGGCTGTGCTCCCATGTTCATTGTTTGTTTCCATGTGGACTATATGTTTTTGCTTGTAAATTTACTTTTGGCAAATATCACCTAATGAGCCTAAGGAAAAAATACATTTGTGTAACAAACAGGCTCTTGACTTACTATTTAACAATTCTGACTTTGGCACATGTCAATTTTATTAGGTTATTGATTTTTGTCATGGAGGATTTTGCCAATAGGTTCCTAAAATGTAATTTTGATAAAATTATGCAGTACCACTGCATGCATAGTTATTTAGCATAACACAGTATAAAAATATTACTAACCCGTCATTGGCATTCAAAGGTGTATAATGAGATAAATTATATGTTTCTACAGAGGAGTTTTCTTTAACTTCTGTCCACACTCCAACTGCAATGGTGAAGGTAGAGGCTGGCATCGGCATGGTTACATAGTAGAACCAACTGTTTAACCCTGCAAGGCAACAGAAACAGTGGCATTAATAATTACATGTCCATTACTTGGTGTCAATATTTTGGGCTCATTTACCCTAGCGTGTTCCTTTTGAAATACTAATTGGAGTCTTCCTTACATTATTTACCATATTTCAGGCTTTGAAAAATATGAAGGGATGAAGGCTTGCATTTGTTGCATACATAATATAAGTAGACATAGACCCTATTTTTTCTATATTTCTATTCTGGGAAATCCCTGTTGCTGGTAACATTAAATATCATTCACTTGTGAATAGAGATAGTGAAAACATGCTGTATAATTATATGGAACTGGGTACTTGTCATAACATTCTTTACACGCGGATATCGAGTTTATCCAGCTCTTCGTATGTAAAAAGAAAATGGGGTTGATTTACTAAATGCTGTTTACTTTGCTATTGAATTTTCTCGTTCCAAGGGAATTTGTTTTTTTTATCTTCCTTGCACATGATTGGGTACTCTTTGTAAAGTAAATTTTCACCACATTCCCAAAGGTAATGGAACAGGGACATTCTAAGTGTCATTCCTAGCCTATTTGCTGCCTTAGGCAA